GGGAAAGAAAGAAGGAATTCACTACTAAAGAGCATTACGAAAAGGGTTTCATATTAATAGAAATCACAAGCACATAATCATCCAAGATTGACATAAAAAGATTTCTTAATATGAAAATAAATACAAATAAAGTCAAAATTATAATAAAAGTAACTCTTTCTAATATCTTTCTTACTATAATTTTTTTTTTTCAGAATAATTTGTTGGCACTTCAAAACTCGCAGCCTAGCAAATAGTCCTCTAATCTATAATCAAGTGCTCAAGGTTAGTAGGTTTCTCACACTAAAGAACAAATTGTTCATGCAATTTCCTATGTACTTTGCTGCATTAGATCCAGCTGCTTTTCCTCCACCTCTCTCACTGCAACAGTACCCTCAGTAGCCACAACAGTACCCTTTGCAGCATAATGGTGATGGTCATTCTAGTTTCATATGTATGTATATCTTTATATTTTATACCTTCCATTTTTATGCATGAATGTTTTAACTAAAAACTTGGGTTTGTAGTGTGTTTTTCACTACTTTGTATGTTTTGTTATTCTCACTCTGCATCAGATTTTTTTATTATATATGTGATTTAGTTTTAATTTTAAATTTAAAATACTAATTATTAAAATTTAAAAATAACATAAAAAATATATATATGTATATTAAACCGATAATAATTAAAACATTTATTACTATTCAATATGTTTTCTAAAAAATTAGTTTTGTTATTACCACACCAATAATCATACCAGTTTACCGAGAATAAATTCAAATTTTTTATGTCAGTTAAAGCTTGTACTGAAATGTCAGAACACCTTTTCAGGGACATTAGTGACGCCAAATGGAGTCAGAAAAATTACCGATGCAGTTAACATGTCGTTAATTAATTAATTATTTACACACAGATGACTAACGAAAAGTTCAGTTCGCGAATTCGAGTTTTTAATTTGAGTTGAGATGTAATTTTTTATGAGAGTTTTTAACTGTAATAAAATTAAAATTAAAAATTTAAATTGATGAAATAAACGAGACGTTAGAGAGAAAGAGACACAAATTGTGGGAGCTGATTCACTAGCTCCATATGAAATAACGATACTATTGAGTACCAATCATGCTTAACAGTGTCCACTAATAAAGATAGGTCTCACAGTATAAGACCCCACATGGTGTTCCCAAGTATTTTTCCAAACAAAAACCATACAAGTTTTGCAGTACATACTATTTGCATTGCCACAAGAATCTTTGTGTGGGTATTTTAAAGCCCTTTTTTTTTTCCCTTCTCCTATTCCTTGGAACTACACCATGTGAGTGAAAGGCTTATTGTGAGAGAGATGTATATCAAACCTCCCAAAAGATTAGAAGGAAAAAAAGATTTTAACATACAAAGTTAAGAGTGAGTGGACCCAAGAAAAGGAAAAGGCAAAATCATCTTTCACTATCCATTGGAACAAAGAGAATCAAGAAGATCTTACATATGGATGAGGCCAGGCCCACTTATTGTCATTGTTAACATATGGCTTGAAAACGAAGAAAAGCTGAGCCTTTTGTAACTCCAAGGGCAAGAAGATGCACAATATAAGGTCTTGGCAATTTTTTTTTTTTTTTTTTTTTTTGGTGGTCCCCAACATTTCAGCTACTTAACATATGAAAAGCTCCTTTCTTATTACTCAATAAAAAACGTATAATTTAAAGACCATGATTATGCATGTTTGGAGTACTAACTGCTTTCAATGTGTTGTGTTTGTTCATTGTAAATATTTTTTCTCAAGTTCCGGAAATAAGAATGTGACAAAGAAATTGTAGCCTTCTAAGGTACATAATGTGTCATTTTCGATTTGAAATTGGTAAACTAACATTTTTGTTCACAAATTATTATTTTTTTAATTGCAATTAAAAGACTACTCGAGAGAAGAAGAAAATTAATTTTTTTTTTTTTTTTTTTTTTTTTTTTTTTTTTTTCTTTAACATTATTGTCTTGATTTGTCTCTTTTGAAATAAGGTGCGTTCTAACTTTTGCCGTAATCCTGTTAAAGTAATGCATTCATTCGGCAAAGGCGTTTTTAACTTTATCACCTGAACTCATATTACCCCTTTGGCGTTTTTAAATGCCGCATGAAAATTGGATGACTTTTGAGCTCATTTAGTTTGCTGATTCGAGTTTTTAATTCGAGTTGAGATGTGATTTTATGTGAGTTTTTTATTGTAGTAAAAAAAATTAGATGTGACTATTTTTTAGAACTTTTTACTGTAACAAATCTCGAATCAATGAAATGAACGAGACCAAATTATCTCTTCACTTTTTGTTTTTCTTTTCTTTTTTAGTTTGCAATGGGAAAAAAAAAAAAGAAAAAAAGTTACTTTGAGAAAAAGTTACTATCTTCATATATAGAAGTTTGAATTACAACACTAAGTTAAAAATATATTATGGTGTACGAATTATGATTTGAATCTTTTGGTTTGAAATGAAAAATTTGAACTGATAATAAAACTGGAACTAGTACTGAAATTATGATTTAAACTACTGATGGGATATCTATCTGATCTCTTTCTCCCAAGACGCACAACCTCGTGGAAAAACCACAGAGTCTCCAACTTTTAAAAAGGATGAGAAGTAAATTGACACAGTTTCCATAGAGCTTAGTGAATGTCTATATCACGGTGTCACCATATGACAGTTTTTATGTCAATTCGTAGCATTCACCTTGCTAGCTAGGTCACCAATAAACACAGTCAAAAAAAAAAAAAAAAAAAAAAAAAAAAAAAAAAAAAAAACAAGACACAAAAGAAGCAAAGCATGGATAGCTAGATAGAGAGAGCCTGGATAATGCATGACCACATTTTTAACAAATAATTTTTTTATTCTTCGATTGATTCAAGAAATTACACTATATACTTCACATTGTTACACGTACTAGCTTCTGGGCCTTTGGGTCTCCATTTTAAAAGATTAACTTATTTGAGGGAATCGTCGTGTACGAAACAATCGGTATCAGCTTCCAGACTAAGTCACATGAACGTCTGAACAAATCAGACGAATATCGATGGCTCCCATGGAGTTTGATTGCTATGATGCGAAGTTCTGCGGTGAAAAGTAATCTTTCCAGATGGAAATTCTAGGGCTAATTTGGTTTGCCTCCCTTAAGGGAAGATGCACAAATAGATCATGGTTTAAGGGGAGTTATGATGGTTGTGGCCTTCTTTCAAGAGGATTACCGTGAGTATACGAACAAAAAAACCTAATAGGTTAATTTTTAGGATGTATTCCGAAGGATCCAACACTAATATCTTCCATTGATTATGCAACTAAAAATTAGCTTACAACATTTCGAGGTAAGATGATTTGGAAATGAATGGACTAGGGACACAAGAAAGCAATGTTAACGAATTGAATTGTGTAAAGGAATAGAAATGTTTGTCGCCTGTCTCGGCAAATTGCTTTCGCTGGTTTTTTCGCTCTTAAAATTGTTGTCACGCCCAAACTTGATCACACTCTCTCAACTAGGCCAACTGAAGAAGAAAAAAAAAAAAAAAAGGAAAATTATCAATGTCATTTTCAACAAATATTATTATATATTCTGCCCCAAAAGAGAGAGATGTGGGGTCCACAAGTTTGGTCTGAACATGTCGTCTGTCTCTCACAGAGCAAAGAAAGTGTTTGGTTGAAGTTTGTCTGTGAGGGTTCATCCATGGGAGGGACAAGGTGAGCCAGTGGATTAATTGCAACGACACTGCGTTGCTCTCAGCAGTTATGGATGTCTTGTTGCAATCCAATAACAGCTGGTGGGTTTGTCATAAATTTTGAGGATGTGGGGTTGATTTATTATTTAGCTAGCTAAGCCTCAAAGGCTTGTAAATTGAGCTGCCAATTTTATATGAAGTCATAGTGATGCAGTTTCTCATAATTGGTGCTCACTAAATACTTTTTGTGGTCTAATCACATTCTACCTTGTAATAGCACAAGCCTGCATTGCGATGTTGTATTAGGTGTCAATGCGGGCAACATCGACGATTTTCAAGTAATTTTTCGTGAAAACTACGACACGTCCCAAAATTTGAGATGTGCCTTGCAGCCAAACCTCAATAATTAGATAATGCAAAAAAAAAAAAAAAGATCTCAATAGTTGGAGGAGTTGTAAGATTTTAACTGAAAAAAATCAACGGTTTTAATCGTTTTATTATTATTTATTATTATTATTATTATTATTATTATTATTGGCTGAAATTGGATTGCATTGGCACACCCCAAAAAGTATCGTTACTTCTTGTGTAATTTTTAGTTCATATTTGCGTGAAACTCTTTTGTAAAATACATACATACCAAGTCAAATCTTTAATGTTGGTCATTTTTTCTGTCACCTAGTGGCCGCTAGGTTCCATCATCCTGTTTTTATCATCCTTGCAACCATAGTAGGAAACAATGCAAAGAATTGAAAGGTGTTTTGTGGTCAATGGGTATTATTCATTTTATTCATTACTACATCGCAAGTATACATACAAATATTTATATGTTATGTACTTAGAAAATGAATAATTTTCTTGGATCAAAGGCATTTGGAGTGAACTCATTCTAAGAAATCGTGCAATGAAATCTGATTCACATCTCCATCTTTAGATTGCTAGCTTCAATAGAACCTGCAAATATCATATATCACAAAGCATTTAGTTTGGATATATAGTAGGGGAAAAAAAGGACATAGTATTTATGCAAGAATATCTTTGTCACAGCTAGTTAATGGCTGTCCTTCTACTCTGTTACACTAGAACAAAAAATATTAAAGAATCGAAACCTTTGCTTGGTGTGAATTGGAGAATTAGCTCCCTCAATGATGGGACCCACCCATTTCAACACCATTTATTGATGATGCATGATAGCAGTTATTATGTGGTTTACAGAGTCAAAATCCCACCACACCTTTAATTTCCCAACCTCGTTTTTTTTTTTTTTTTTTTAATCAAAATGGTGGTTGGAATATCATGGTCACTTAAAAAAATCTATGGCTTTGATTGTTCTATGAGGAAAACAGATACAAAAGACACATACTATCAAAGTTTCTTTGTTCCAATCAGAATGGACCTTAAGTAATTCCTAGGCAAAATCATTAAACATTTTGTGGGGTCTATTTGGTCTTATATTACACATTAAAAAACCCCACTTTACTAAAAATTATGGAGTTTTAATAAATGGTAAGAAAATTTCATAAGTTACTTGTATTATTGTCTAACCTGTAAATGGCTGGGATGAAAAGGGTATTGATGATCTTCCTTGATTAAATTCCGTACTATAAAGGTTTTGCAATTCTGAATCCCAAGTTGTTGGTGGCTGGATTTGCTGCAAAGAATTGTATTACAATTTGTCAAAATTATTGCTTAAAAAGCAGCTTATATAGATAAGCAAATTAATTAAAAAAAAATTGTGTAATGTGCAAGGGTATGAGCAAATTACAGTATAGCAAGATGTGTCAAGAAATGTCTCAGGGATTGAAACAGGGGCACTAATTGTTCTTCTAAGTCCCATGTCATGAGAATTCATCCCCATTTCCAATCCACCACATGAAACCACTTGCTGCGCCGGATTGAACTGGAGATAAGGAGAATTCGACATCTCCGCTGACATCCCGAGCGTCTGAAAACCACCGGCGCCGGCGCAAGCAGGAAACATCTGCTTGATCGTAATTTGTTTAAGGAAAATGACAATAATTAGTAACTGAAAATTACCAATTATTATTTTTTAATTATTTTTCTGAAAGTCTGCTTAATTATTACCTCTTTTGCAAACAAGTCGTCTATGTTGAAGTCAAGCCTAGGGTTCACAGCAGCTAGTTTCATGGACAAGAACTGTTCATATTGTAAAAAAAACTCAAATTTAGAACACAGGAATTTTGTAGGACTAAACTTTGAAGAATAATATATATGTATATAAGATGTAAATATACACCTCTACTTGGCGTTGAAGAGATTGAACGTAATTAATAATTTCATCAAGCATTCCAGCTTTGCCAGTGATCTTGTTACACCCTGGTACTAAATCCTGCAGATACTTCATTCTCTCACTAATTTTCTCTCTTCTTACCTGCATGATCAAATATATACCAATATCACATAAGTTACAAATTTAAAAAAAAAAAAAAAAATCTTTAAGAACTATTGATAGATTTAAAAAAAAAAAAAAAAAAAAGTAGATGAACTTACTCTTTCAGCTAAGCTATGGCTATCAGTGGCTTGGCCTCTTCTTGCCCTGACATGGATATAATCAGGCTTTTGAACCTCAGAGGCCTTTGAATTCTCCTTGGAAGTATCAGCAGATGATTCTCTGTTGTTTGCGTTTGTATTATTATTTTTTGGGCTATTTTGCTCTGTGATCTTTGAATCTCCTTCCTCTGCGCTTCCTTTCGCCCTTTTCTCTCTTGAATCATCTTCCTGGACACCCTAGATAATTAATTTATCAACATCAAATTTATATTTTTTTGCATTACCCAATTATTTCACAAAATTATATATCAAACGAAATAAAAAAATGGAACTAAGTAATAACCTCTGTCAACTTAGTTGGGATGCGCTAATTTTTTTTTTTTTGAAAAATATATACCTTTGTGTTATTCACTTTATCAGCCTTCCTCTTCTTGAAGCTCTCTCTACCTGCGGCGGAGCTAGTTTTCTCCGGCGAAAAAGATTCTCTGCTTTTAACCTCCGGCGTGAGCGGAGCCACCGTCGGCGGGCTGCTCGAGGTCCGAGAAATGGCACCGGTCATCTGAAACCCGGGACCGTTGGCCAACCCCGTTGCCGACGAGCCGAATCCAATCCCGGACATCTCGAACCTGTCCAGCTCCGACCACCCATTTTCCAAACTCGGGTCGGGCTTGACCGGCCGATTCGCCGTCGTATCTCCAATAACCGACACGCCGCCGACCAAACCCTGAAAACCCGGAAATTGACCCGCCTGAGCAGGATTAAAGAAAATCCCATTAAGCTGATCACTTCCATTAAAATATCCATCTTGCTGTTGTTGTTGTTCTTCTTGTTGAAGCTGTTCTTGTTGCCACTTCAAACGGGCTCTCTGCCTGTCCAAAACCGTCATGTCCGTACAGTTTCCGGCGAGGAGATTCCCCACTGAATTCAGGCAGTGCAACATCTCCGGCAGTGTTCGATTCATGTCACACAACTAAAACTTCTTTTTTTATTTCAAAAAATTATTTTAGCTCCTTGGGGTGTATAATTGGCTACTAAAGTGCTATATATTTTCAAGCAAAAAAGATTAAAAAAAAAAAAAGCAGAAAAGGTAGTGGGACTGTGAACTGTTGAGGTTATTAGAAAGAATTAGTACTCTAGCTATAGTGATCTCTCATGCTCAAACAAAGACGTCTTTCTGACAAAACTAAGCCTTATAAGTAGCTAGTACGGGTTTGTTTGTTATGCTAACGTGCGCCACATACACATAATAACATAGTACTTGCGTTGTTTTTGCTCTCTGATAAAATGCGCCGCTAGCTTAGCTAGCTGAACAATATTGGAGAGTTTCTTTGATGTAGTAGTTAGAGAGAGAAAGAGAAGGGGAGAGAGAGAGAGAGAGAGATAAGAGAAAGAAATGTAAGGTAAGGGTAAAGAGGAAGGCAAGGGTGGGGTATAAATAAAGGGCAAAAAAGGGTTGGCCGGAATCTGACAAGAAGTAGCCGGAATTATTAGGAGAGAGAAATTAGAGAGAGAGAGAGAGAGCAACTGGGGCAGAGAGCCATCGAATGTATCCATAACCAGAGGCCGTGGGTTGTGGGTCCTATTGACATGACCGCCACGTGGTCTTGTCCATATAACGGAGTTGTTCCCTTCTCTCTTTCATGATCAGCTTTGTAGTGGTTGTTTTCCGACGTTATTCTCTTCTACTAAAACTAAAATCTCCTTTGCTGATAATAATGTTCGATTCCATGATTTTTCATGCACGTAATCACACTATTACATATATTTTTCTTTTGTACCCCGTTTACGAGTACAAAAAATCCATGTCGCTTTCTTTTAATTAATAATTAAGACTAAGACTTTCATAATATCCTCTTTTCAGCTTCGAGGAATCATAGCTCAAAAACCCCTTTTGTTTAGGTTTTATGTTTTGTTTCTTTAATCACATGTTAGTTTTGTAATTAACAGCCGCCAAAGGATTTTAATATATAAATATCTGCAAATGAGTACGTACTTAAAGTTGGTCAATGGTCACAACAATGGACTTAAATTCTCCCAAAAAATAATAATAATTGGACTTTAATAAATTTTTTTATTTAAGTCTCGTTCATTTCACCGATTCGAGTTTAGAATTTAAATTTTACTACAGTAAAAAGCTCTCAGAAATAATCATATTTAACTTTTTTACTACAATAAAAAATTTTCACATAAAATCACATCTCAATTTAAATTAAAAACTTGAAGCAGCGAACTAAACAGATATTTAACATCATTTTGTTAGCCATGGAATATAAGTAGTACTCACCTTTTATAATCCAAGAACAAGTATTATATATAGGGAATTTGACTGACAAAAGTTGGTCAATAGTAAATTTATTAGCTATCTTTTCTGCCCATAATCGTTCAGAGATAAACCTTTCAGTTTATTTATTTAGTATGACGACCAAACCTTGTAATGAATCTGAAAAGAAAATAGAAAACCAACTGCAGAGGGGGATTTTTTTTTTTTTTTTTTTTTTTTGCGGGAACCGCAAAGGAGGATAGTTAGTTGTGGAATTTTGTTTTCAATCAATATTTTATTTCCAGGATTTAGCCATTTACTGCGTTATGAGTTTTTGGACCCCGTGAGGAATGCCCAAAAACTGGGGCCTCACGTTACGTCTAGACCCACGTGGCCTTTCAGACGTGGCAGTCTTTGGTGCTCTGTGTCTGACATGCAGAGGAGTGACGTGGACGATGACGTGTTGAAACGGGGATTCATAGTAGTCTGGTTTTGATTGGTACTTGGTACCTGGGAAGTTACAAGGGATTACCCATCGCCAACGGCTACACACAAAAAACCTACGGAGAAGTTCCTCATCCACTCGAGTCCACAGCGCGTGAGGTACACCGCAAATTTCTATTCGTCACATGAGTAGCGTGATATAAAGACGCGCGGGGTTATTTGTAATTAATTACGCTCTTTTGTAGCTGGAGATTCTGCGGGTATTAGGGACGTGTCAGTCCCTTCTAAAAATAGTAAGGCTCTTATTAACCTCCCAACATTTGTTATTTGTTTCTTTTTGTCTAATTGTATGCTTATGTAACTTTCTTACTAATTAAAGCCCTAAATATCTTCTTTTTTTATATTACGTTCCAACAAATTCCAATCTGTGGGGCAGCACACAGAAACCAAATTAAGGTAACTCAGGTAGGAAAAACAAAAATAAAAAGCAAGAAGCAACTCAATCGGTCAATTTTCTCTTCGACGTTACTCTTATGCTAATCTTAATCGCTCCGAGCTAAAGAAATTGACTAACTTGAATCTTGCAAACTTTTGGAAGCTTTTAAATCCGAGTTTGTTGCGGAAAGGAGGAAAAGAGTCTACCTCATTGAAAATATAGTTAAATCAAATAAATTATTAAGAAAGTCAAAATTTTAATTGTGGACATACATATAAGACAATGATTGATGGATAATTAAGGAATAAATTTTCATTTTAATGACGCCGTTTAAAAAGTGACGACATCCTAGTTCTCCTAGGTTAACAAAGTGACACTTGATATATAGATTAAAACTAAACATCAATTGTCCTTTCTGTTTTGTTAATATTCTTACAAAAAATTACAAAAGGGGCTCTCTGATTCTGTCCAAGTGACGATATAGTCATGTGCTATTTTGCTAATCACAATGTACTTTCTGAATAATAACAACTTGGTAAAAGCTGTAAGGTTATATATAAATATAAATATATATATATATGTGTATTTTGTGACGTTAGTTGTGCTTTTAGTTTGAAAATATATATATATATATGAGTGTAGTTTTAATGTTTACTTTAATATTTACTCATCAATTAATATTATTATTTTAGCTACAAAATTTTAATCCAACGGTTGTAATAAATTGAAAAATTGACTAAAAAAGTTAATGACAATTAATAAAATTAAATTTTTACTACACCACGTCATCAAATTGACCAATGGAAAGGTAAATTTTGAAAACTTGTCCATATGTGTATATTGTTGAGAATAGTGTCCTCAGATGTAATAAGATGTTTATTATTTATTTAATAAAAGAGTTTATTTATTATTTTATCTGCATATATTAATGAATATTTTACTAATATCAGTCAAAATTCTATGATTATTTATGTGACCTTAAAAATTGTATATAAGTGTTATATGCAAGAGGATAATATTTAAGGATAATAATCAAAACAATGTTCATAATGAATTTAATTAAAGTTCAAAATCTTTAATTAAAAACATTACTAATACATGTCATTTTTATTTAGAATGGAACAGTGTTATCCGTACTGTTAATATGGCGAGATATTGTCACACCCTTAAGAATAAACGGAATTAATTAAGGCAATTAAGATTTATTAGTGTGCCTAATCTAGTTTAATTAATTAATTATTGGATATTAAATGTTTCTGACGTGTAAATTTAAATAATTCCAAGGTATTAAAATATTTTCAGTAATTATATTTTTACCCTAAAAGTATGTATGGGCACATTTTCTGGACTGTTATTTTAAATATTTGGACACCTATTTTTCTTTTCTTTTTCCTTTTCTTTCCTTTTTCTTTCTTTACTTTCCCTCCCGAGCACACAAACACACACTCTCTCTCACTCTCGTTGTCACTCTCTCTCTCTGCCGTTCAAAATCTTCACCGAATTAAACCAAATTTCGAGCCGAAGGAAAATTTTAAGAAGTTTTCAACATCAAGAAAAGTATTTGAGGTAAGATTTCTGAAAAACCTCTCTTGATTCTTGGATTTTCGGATTTAGAAACCTTATTTTGGTTTGGAATGAATTTTGATGGATTTTGAGTAAAACCATGGTAGAAATTGGAGATCTTGGGCTCTTTGGACTTGATTTAGCACTTAGAACCCAAATCTAGTGGTTTTCCTTTGAGATATTTCAGATTTGAACTCAAATGTACAGGTTTTTCGTTGATTTTCTTCGTATCGGCCATGTTGGCCATCTTGCCCTGATTCCACCGGTCGACTTATGTGGTCGATCGGTCTGCACTACATCAAGTCGACCTGTGTGGTCGACCGAAGTGCACACCACCGGTCGACCGGTGGTCTTACACTGCTCTATCACCGGTCGACCGGTGTACGCAGGATTTGGCCCTGTTTTATTGAAAAACCCTGTTTTGACCTCAGTTTTTGAGGAGAACCCAAATTAGCTTCATTTGGGGACCTAGAATGAATGGATTAGCATCTTTAACCCATATTTTGAGATTGAAAACCCTTGGAATGATGATTTGAAACATGAATTGATTTATGAAACTTGAAAATTGATTAAGGCACACTAATAGGAAATCAAAGAGTATAATTGAGATTGAAATCGCTTTAGGAATGAGAATTTGATCCTAAAGCGTGGTTTTGTATCAGTGCTAGCCGAGGACTTAGATTAAGGGGCTTTGAGGAAGCAAAAGCCGGAATAGTGCAATGCTAGCCAGGTTTGGTACTTACGAGGTAGGATTCCTTACCCCTTTCTTTGTGAGCCTGTTTTCAAAGAGTTTTGCCCTTGCAAATGTTTTAAAGAAATGGCATGTTTACAAAAGTAAAGTATGTTTAAAAACAATAGCTTGATTTTAGCTATTGGAATTATAATGAACTGTTTCATAAAGTTTAATGAATGATTTCTTAATACAAGAGATCTTGTGAATCGGTAAACTGGCTGATGGCCTAGATAGGATGTGGAGAGTGCATCCTTGGGGGCAGAACCCGAAACCCGGCCCGGGGGTGTTAGGCTTGTGCACGTGGTTGTGTAAGTAATTTATCATAGTATAAATTACTTGCGGATGCCTATAATATGGAGATTTTTAGTTACATTCTTTTAAGAAAAAAGGATGTGAGGTTCTGGCTATTGTGTTGGAACTGAATGTCTTATTATTCATTTATTTATTTATTCACTTGCTTACTTATTTATATATTTGTTTATAAAGTTATTTCAAAATATATCATACTAGGCCTTTCGTTCACGTTTTATTGTTTTATAAATGTTAAACCCATCCCAGGCGATTCTAGAAGCAGTGTGGAGTAGCTGAGTTGCTACCACTTGATTTGGAGAGGATTGTGGTCATCCTCCATGTGTACGAATGTAAGAATTTATAAATTTTATAAACTCTGATATTTGTATTTCTAGACTGTGGTTGATATCTGTAATGTTATTTATATGTTCATGTATGTATGATACTGAATATCCTATAGATAGATCCTGTGGGTGTAGCCCTGAATAGTGATAGAGGCGGGAGTTTTAGCCTCTTATGATGTTCTTATAATTTATTTTCAGCACAATAGTGGGGCTCGTTTAGAGATTTCTTTAATCTTTCACTGTTGGTTTTAATTATTAAATGTTTATAACTGGGTAATGATGTATAATCTGATTTTCACACCGGCCGTCATGCAACAAGTAAA